CGCAAGAAGGACATGCAGCGAAAGCGACGCCGCGAGAAATCCATGGCCGTCACCATGGAGCAGCAGAAGCTTGCCCTCGAACGCGCCCGCCTTGCCGAAGACGAGACCGAGAAGCAAAAGCACCTGAGGGATGCCGAGCGTGCGAACAAGAAGGCGCAGCAGACAAAACTCATTCTGCAGAAGGGCATCAAGGGACCCGCTCGCAACCTTGTGGAGCTCAACCTCGAGGGCGGTACGATGGCCACCTTCCAAGCATCCGACATGGAGCCTGGCACGAAGCCGAAGGGTAAGGGCCGCAGCGGGCCCAGGCCGAAGAAGTCCAAGGAGCAGAAGCAGGCCGAGAAGGATTCTGCCGAGGCCGCACAGGCTGCCATCGACGCCGGCGAGGAGCTGCCTGCCAAGGAAGAGGGCAAGATCCGCATCAAGTTCAACAAGAAGTCCAAGGATAAGGAGAAGAACAAGGACAAGGATCTGGACGAGGCCGATATCGAGATGCCCGACGGCGAACTCGACGGCGACGAAGAAACCATTGTCGAACCCGTCGAGGAGAAGAAGGGCAAGAAGGAAAAGAAGAAGAAGGAGAAGAAGGAAGACAAGCCCGAGGAGCCACCCAACAAGGACGCCAAGTTCGAGACCAAGGGCTTCCTTCAGATCTACGACCAGATTTGGCGCGACCTGGCCCGCAAAGATGTCACCAAGACCTACAAGCTCGCGGCGGAGTCTTATCAGACCAAGGCTTCGAACCTCAAGAAGACTGCCATTCTCGCTTCCAAGGAGGCCAAGAGGTGGCAGCTGCGCACGAACAAGGGCACCAAGGACCAGCAGGCTCGCGCCAAGCGTGTCATGCGTGACATGATGGGCTTCTGGAAGCGCAACGAGCGTGAGGAGCGTGATCTCAGGAAGGCTGCTGAGAAGCAGGAGATTGAAAACGCCCGCAAGGAAGAAGCAGAGCGCGAAGCCGCCCGTCAAAAGAGGAAGCTCAACTTCCTCATCTCTCAGACCGAGCTCTACTCCCATTTCATCGGCAAGAAGATCAAGACGGACGAAGTCGAGCGCAGCACCGATAACCCCGAGGTTGCCGCTGGCGAGAAGAAGGCCGCGACCGATGAGAACAAGATGGACGTTGATGAGCCCACCGGACCTCTTGGCGCCAAGGTTACCAACTTCGAGAACCTCGACTTTGACGAGGAGAGCGAGGAGAACCTGCGCGCGGCTGCCATGGCGAACGCTCAGAACGCCATTGCAGAGGCGCAGAGAAAGGCCAGAGAGTTCAACGAGCCTCAGGGTCCCGACATGGACGAGGAGGGCGAGATGAACTTCCAGAACCCTGCCGGTATGGGCGACGTCGAAATCGAGCAGCCCAAGCTCATCAACGCCCAGCTCAAGGAGTACCAGCTCAAGGGTCTCAACTGGCTCGCCAACCTGTACGAGCAGGGCATCAACGGTATTCTTGCAGACGAGATGGGTCTCGGAAAGACTGTCCAGTCCATTTCCGTCATGGCCTACCTCGCCGAAAAGTACGACATCTGGGGTCCGTTCCTCGTCGTCGCACCCGCGTCCACCCTCCACAACTGGGAGCAGGAAATCCGCAAGTTCGTGCCGGAGTTTAAGATTCTCCCGTACTGGGGTTCTGCCGGCGACAGAAAGGTGCTTCGAAAGTTCTGGGATCGCAAGCACTCGACGTACAAGAAGGAGGCATCCTTCCACGTCTGCGTTACGTCGTACCAGCTTGTCGTGTCTGATGTTGCCTACTTCCAGAAGATGAAGTGGCAGTACATGATTCTCGACGAGGCCCAGGCCATCAAGAGTTCTCAGAGTTCCAGATGGAAGAGCTTGCTGGGCTTCCACTGCCGAAACCGTCTCCTGCTTACCGGTACTCCCATCCAGAACAACATGCAGGAACTGTGGGCTTTGCTCCATTTCATTATGCCGTCACTCTTTGACTCTCACGACGAGTTCAGCGAATGGTTCTCAAAGGACATCGAGTCGCACGCTCAGAGTAACACCAAGCTCAACGAGGACCAGCTCAAGCGTCTGCACATGATTTTAAAGCCATTCATGTTGCGTCGTGTCAAGAAGCATGTCCAGAAGGAGCTCGGAGACAAGATTGAGGAAGACGTCTACTGCGACCTCACCTACAGACAGAGAGCCATCTACAGCAACCTTCGGAACCAGATCAGCATTATGGATCTCATCGAGAAGGCTACTGCCGGTGACAGCGACGATTCCGGTACTCTCATGAACCTTGTCATGCAGTTCCGAAAGGTCTGCAACCATCCCGATCTGTTTGAGAGAGCCGACACCACCTCTCCGTTCTCCTTTGGGTACTTCGCCGAGACAGCTTCATTTATCAGAGAAGGTAATGAGGTCAATGTGGGCTACTCAACGCGCAATACCATTGAGTATGACTTGCCTCGGCTCCTCTGGAGGGGAGATGGCCGCGTCAACAAGAGCGACATCAACAACCCCAAGGCGGGATGGCGAAACAAGAACCTGCAGCACATGATGAACATCTTCACCCCGGAGCACATCAAAGACAGCATGGAGGGCTCTGACAACTTTTCATTCCTGCGCTTTGCCGACACTAGCCCGAACGAGGTGTACAAGGCCAGCCATCAGGACATCTTCACTCGCGCAGTCGAGCTGTCCCAGAAGAAGAATCGTTTGGGCCACATGAATGTTGCCTACGACGAGCCTGAGGACATCAACTTCACGCCTGCTCATGCACTGTTCCAGATTAAGGAGCGCAGGAACAGGCAGCCTTTAGTCGACATCACCGAGGAGGGTATCCTGGCCAACCTGATGAACGTCGCCCGCAGCGAGTACTCTGAGAGTGGATTGGGTCGTCTGGAGCAAGCTGGTCGTCCTCGCGCCTCAGCGCCCCCTATTGAGGTCAGCTGCTGCAGCCGTGGCGCCGATATTGAGAGGGAGAACATTATGTTCAACATGCCCATGCGCAAGAGCTTGTTCGGCCCCACCATCCACGAAGAACGGGCGATGGTTACGGAGAAGATTCCGATCGAGCGATTCCCGCCCCACAAGTTGTTGCCTGCCCCTGACAGCGAGAAGAGAAAGTTCACCAACATCGCCGTGCCATCCATGCGTCGCTTCGTCACGGACAGTGGCAAGCTTGCGGTGCTCGACAGGCTACTTACTAAGCTTAAGGCCGAGGGACATCGCGTGCTGCTCTACTTCCAGATGACTCGCATGATCGATCTCATGGAGGAGTATCTGACCTACCGAAACTACAAGTACTGTCGTCTCGATGGTTCCACCAAGCTCGAGGACAGAAGAGATACGGTTGCCGACTTCCAGACTCGCCCCGAGATCTTCATCTTCCTGCTATCCACTCGTGCCGGTGGTCTCGGTATCAACCTGACGTCTGCTGATACCGTCATCTTCTACGACTCCGATTGGAACCCTACAATCGACTCGCAGGCCATGGACAGAGCGCACAGACTGGGTCAGACTCGCCAGGTTACGGTGTACCGTCTCATCACCCGCGGCACCATCGAAGAACGTATCCGCAAGCGTGCTATGCAGAAGGAGGAGGTGCAACGTGTCGTCATCACGGGTGGCGGCGCTTCTGTCGATTTCTCTGGTCGTCGCGCTCCTGAGAACCGCAACCGTGATATTGCCATGTGGCTTGCGGACGACGACCAGGCCGAGATGATTGAGCGCCGCGAGAGAGAGCTCCTCGAGAGCGGCGAGCTCGATAAGCCGCAGAAGAAGAAGGGTGGCAAGCGCAAGCGAGTGGTCAACGAGAACCTTAGTTTGGACGAGATGTACCACGAGGGTGAGTTTTCTTCTCCCTTATGCTTTGATCTGCAGCATGCTAACAGACTTCCAGGCGAGGGCAACTTCGACGATCGCAACGCAGCCAACGGTACTTCAGGTACGGCCACGCCCGTGGCAGAGCCCGACGTCAAGGGAGCGAAGAAGCGGCGCGTGGGCGGCAAGAAGGCCAAGACCTTGAAGCAACGACTTGCCGTCGCGGACGGCCAGGTCTGAGACACCACCTGACACGATAGACAGACGGAACATTCGCTTTTTGCAAGACAGCAAGAATACGGGAAGGGATTTGTGGATTTGTAGCAATATGAAATCGGACGGAAACTACTATGCTGGGCGCACACATGCCTGGCGTCGGAGGGGCGGGGTTTACTATGCGGATTTGCATCAAGAGACGAACAGTCGCGGCCGAAAGCTTGCTGCGTCTTGACTGTTTTAGACTTTATTACAAAAGCTTCTTTGTGTGTATTCTTTCATTATTATCTTTCCGAGGCTCCGGGATTTGGCGGTTGTTTTCGCCCTAGACGTTTGTCTTTAGAGGTTCGTTGTTGGACGCCTCGATGGATGGGATCTTCTTTGAGGTTGAGGTTGAAGGTGGCTATTGGGTGTACGAGGCGTGGGATGTATTATTACCTTTAGACAGTGAAAGTCGCCTCGACAGTTTAAGTGAAGATCACGAGTGCCTTGTGGTGTGTGACCTGGCGTGATGGCTATTGAATGGATGGATAGAGGGATGGCGTCTCGCTGTGACCGTATTTCCGGGCACTTTCTTCTACGGGAGTTGTTGATCTCGTCAGGGATGGCGTCCCAGAAGGCGAGGATATGGTTGATCTTGGTGCGCCGTTCAATACCGCGATGCTCCGATAGCGAGAATGCTGCTTTATGGGATTGACGATGACGGGTAAGACGTGGTGACTTGGGAATGGTGACAGGGACATGACGTGTTGGACCAACTGTTAGGCCAAAACATGGGGAATCGATTTCGGTGTATATGAAGTACGGCGACTTCCTATATTAATGGGTAAAACACGCTTCAACGCCTGCCATGAGACCTGTTTCTCCAAGGACTGAAAGAGTACCGCCGCCCGCTTCAAATCAAACCCAATGCCTGTTTTCGCTGTGCCCCGAAAGCATGTGACGTCCTCTGCTCTCGTATATTTTCACACCCGTGGGAGTTAACGCGATACGGTTCTTCTTCCTCTCAAACGCTACCGGAAGAATCTTTTCAGGGCTTTGAAGCCTGACCGACTTCGTTGCGTCGCCTGCGAGCTGTTGCTGTCGTCCACCGTCAGGCCTTCTTCGAGCTGCCTTGCACCTATATTATTCGACTGTATTGCCTTGGGAATACAGTAATCATTCCGACTGCCTTGATTTCTGTGACTAGCTATCGAGTTCCTACCTTGCGCTATCCGAGTACTGGTATTTGTCTGAAGATGGGGCTTTCGGAGTTCGTCCCATAGCCTTTTTCGTAAGTACTCTTGGTGTTGCTTCGTTGCGCGAAGTGCTTCGTCGGGTATTCGGGCGATGGTGTCGCGGATTTCGTCTCGGCGTGCGCGCTCGCGCTCGACTTTCTCGGGGGTGAAGGGGTTGTCTGACTTAACTGCAAGACCAACGTCAGTGTTCGATTCAACAGGCCTTCCAGACATATCAGGGGAACTTACTGTCGTCCAAGTAGCTGTCCGATAGAGAGCGAATCTTCTGCTCGCATACCTCTACGAGCGAGATGCCATAGATGCCGAGGCTCAACGTAGACCCAAGGCTTTCTGACGACCCAATGCGCTCCTCGTATTGTCTAAACACATCATACTCGTCCAGCATGGTGTTGTTTAGGATTGCATCGACAGGCAAACCCTTGATGACGTGGAAATCACAGCGGATTGGTGATTCGCCATAGGCGAATTGCCATTCTGCTTGAGCGATACCGTTTGTGCGCACCCGTGATCCATCAAGGAATTCAACGAGAGTTCGATGTTGGTCTTTGCTGTGAACCTTCAGGCCCAATTGGCGGGCACGTTTGAGTGAGATGACCATAATGTCGGACCCGGTGTCCGGCACTGCCAAGCACTCTCTGCCGTTGATGTAGCCGCCCAAAAGGTCCTGATCGGCGCCGACGAGATTCAATGACGGCTGCGCCAGGCTGCAGAGAATTCTCTTAAGCCTGTGAGCGTAGCGTGTCATTGTCTTGGTGGCTTTGAGAAACGCACTGCCCAGGACTAGATCCCGAGTTGCACTGGGCAAGACGCTGCAGAGGAGGTCGTGCGTTTCCTTTTCTCCATCGAAAGTGAAGGTCAACTTCACCTCGCCGGGCGAAATTGCCGTTCTTCCGTTAGGCAAAGACATCTGGCGATGCGTGCCGGCTATGGGTTCCAGACCCAACGATCTTGCCTTATCCTCCGATATGATGTTGAAGCAGGATCCTGTGTCGGGGACTGCCACCACCGCAATCCCGTTGAGGCTTCCATTTACTTCAAATGTTAATCCTTGCCTCATCGGCCTTCGTTTCTCAGACGCGACATGTTTCTGCGTTGATGAGGGATCTCCTTTAGCAGCGGAAGACCGAATGTGCTTGATGGTTGCAAGTGTCTGCCGCAGCATGTCAGACACATCTGGAGGTTCCTGGCTTTTGTCACTTCCACCCGTATGAAGTTTAACCCGCACTACAGTCGCCCATCCTCCGAAACTTTCGATGGAAGGAATCTCGACGTGCGGGCGATCCACTGGGTGAAACCATGGAAGGCCTGCGATCTGTTAGCCGCCTGTCGAAAAACAAGGCACGGTAAGAATTTCAGAGATCATACTCTGGCGGCCTGCTGCTGCATCAAATAAATTTGTCCTGTCAACCTTCATACGAGGGCTGTCGCCGAGATGATGCGTCATTGTTACTGGATTCCAGCTGTTGCCACGAGCGAAGGCCTTTAGACGTGCGTCACGCACTGTAAATAAAGGGCCCTTTGAAGGGGGCTGACATATCGTTTGTTAAAAGTATCAGAACTTCCCAAGACCAAAAGCGGTCTTTACGAGGCCGGTTGGGGGTAGCGGGACTCGAGAGGGGAGGAAGTTGAAGTTAGAATGACCCAACCTGCCTGCTCATGGGCATCGGGGGCTTCGGGCTGTGACCAAGGTAGACAGATGACTCAGACGTGCTGACAGCGACTGGAAGTGTAAGCCTCATATTTTTGATTGGGTCACATGTTAATATGAACATTGTAGCCGGGCGTATTAGCGGGATATCTTCTGTGATAAGCGGCATGATGCACGTCAGCCTCAAATTCGACTTGTGTGGCACACCATTCATTCGTGTTGACCATGTGTCCATGGAAACAGCATGATATTTCACCAAGCCAGCAATGCACAACAGTCAAAACTTTGAAAGACACGGCGGATACCTAGCGGCAGCATCGTGGCTGGCGCGAGATATCGACAATGAAACGCTCATTTTCCGAAAGTTTGATACGCTATCGGCCGCGAACCTCCTGTATATGCAAAGCGAGATCCTTGAGTTGGAGAGGCGTCTTGATAACATGCATCTTCTCACCGTACAGGGCGACGATATGGATTTGAAAGATGCCGCAAGCACGTGGGAGACGCTTGTTGAGCAGTCTCAAGCAGGGACAGCCAACTTCCGGCTGGACGCAAAAGAAAGGATGGATCTCATAAGAGAACTACGCGAAAGGCTACGCGAATACCGTAACTAGCAGCCTTTCTTTCGCATATCACCTTGAAATAGCTGATTACAATCTACTAATCCTGTTATAGATGAAATGCTCCTGTTGCAGAGCCAAATTGCGCAGCTTAAGCATCCTGAAAACCGCCCATTAGCCGCCGTACGACATTTTTTCGAGAAGCCTCATCACATCCTAGGTTGAAAGGCAAAATCATTCCTGAAAGATTCCAGTGATCTTGTTACTTTGAAGAGTCCCAACGACATGGACTACTTGTCCAGATTTCTTCAACGTCACTGGGTAACCGAGGTACGCCAAATTCCACCCTTCCACCTTTGACCACAGTGATCCTGACAAGGTATTTAATACAGAAACAAATGTCTGGCGATGGCGTCAACTATTTTGCTCGTTTCAATCAGCGCTCGATAACCGTTACCGTCAACTTGGTGACTCTAATCACGGCAGTCATTTTTCTATTAGGCCCCATCATAGCGTTGAACTTTGTACAGAACCGCACACCAAAACTTACACTGATTACAGTTTTTGCTATTCTCTTTGCGTCGAATATCGGCCTCATAACGACGGCCAAGCGAGCAGAGATATTCGCTGCCACAGCTGCGTAGGTCTAATTTTCTTCACACCTTTCCATGAAGTATAAGCCATGCTGCGTAAATGCCAATGCCCACGATACTCACGTACGCTGACGTTAAATCGCACCAGATATGCCGCTGTTTTGGTCGTGTTTGTTAGCAATGGCGAGCTGTCTAGTCAGGAAACTTCCGCGTAGCATTCCATGTCAAGGCTGTTGTCGTCTGTGTCGTCGTCGTCGTCGTCGTCGTTGTTGTTGTCGCCGTCGTGACCGTTATCCCTACGGTCGCCGTTCTTCATAGTAGCAACACAGGAATCATAGCCAAACAGGCATAGGGAAATAAGGCGGTCTTGCCTGCCCGCATGTTCATTGGATACATGAATAGAAGCCAGTTCCCCCGCCTTCACTGCCTGTACTGTGTTCCCGATGACGGTATCACTGTGTAGGTAAACCGTCCAATCCCGCGGCAAGGGACGGGCTTCTTGCCATCGGCCTTTTGGCTACTTGGTGTTCCAACTCCAAGAAGATGAACTATCCAGATGGTTCACTGTCTATATAAACGTCTCCAATTCCCCAGCACAATTCCATCACCAGTACAGCAGCATCTCCAAAAAGCGCATCGTTCGACAGTTTCTCTTACCCACACATCACTTCGTAAACTGATTACAAATGCCATGTCGAGTACATCCACGCAGACGACCACCGCCACCCTCGACGCCCCCCAAATCCGAGAGCTTAGTCCAGGCTTCGGGGTGGAAGTCCAAGGGCTCCAGTTTACGCCGCGCGTGAAGGAGGAGAACTTCAAGCTCATCCAAAATCTCGTCACCAAGGTATACTGACATGACGTATAAAAATTGTCTGCTATCGCTAAGCATCAAATAGTACGGTGTCGTCGTCCTCCGCAAGACTGGACTGACTGACGAAACTCACATCGCACTTGCCCGTATGTTCGGCGAGCTCGACGACGTTAAGCCATATAACAAGGCCGGTCGCGCCAACCGGCTCAAGTATGACGAGCTGTTTGATGTGGGCAACATGGAAGCCGACGGCTCTCTCGTCGACCCTGCGAGTCCGCGGGCGCAGGCCAACCGTGGGAACTCCTTCTTCCACGTGGACTCGAGCTTCAACCCGCAGAGGGCGGGGTACTCGCTTTTGCTATCGCATGAACTGCCGCCGGCGGGTGCGGGGGGAAACACGGAGTTTGGCGATACCAGGGCGGCGTGGGATGACCTCGATGACGACTTCAAGAAGGAGCTCCTGGAGAAGAACTATGTTGCGTGTCACTCGATCCTACATTCGAAGAAGTTGGCTGCGCCGGAGCATTTCGCCAACTTCGAACCGGCAGATTATCCGATGGGACGGCATAGACTCGTACAGAAGCATGAGAGGTCCGGCCGGATGAACTTGTATCTTGCGATGCATATTCATCATATCGAAGGCCTCGGGACGAAGGAGTCAAAGGAGCTGTTCGAGAAGCTTTTTGAGCATGCGACGCAGGACAAGTACCGTGTCATGGTGGAGTGGAAGGATGTCGGAGACCTAGTCATTTGGGATAACACGGCGACGATGCACCGCGCAGTGGGAGGGGAATTCGCTTACAAGTACAGGAGAGACATGAGGCGGGCAACAGTGCATGATGACAGTAGCCAGGCTTGGGGACTAAACGAGCATACTGATGTGAGGCAGGGGTTGCCGTGACGGGCCTGTGGATCTTTGAGTTTGACTACTTGGCATGATAGCTTTCACGATGTAGAAATGATACGATCTCTTGTGTCTTTGATATCTTTATCGTTGCGGCCCGCGACCGTCCGCATCCGCCCGCTACCGTCCGTTGCCGCCCGTTGCCGACGGACGTGCTTGGACCCCACTACTTATTACCGACTCGGACCGGCGACATCCAAATTCTCAGCTGAGTGGAATTCATTACTACTTTGAAAATTTCATAGCATTCCAAAAATGACACTTGGGACGGGAAAGAGATCTTACCGGGCTTGCGTCAGGTGTCGCAGTCGCAAGTCAAAATGCAACTTGTAGGAGCTGTGTGCCTCGTTGTGGAGCCGAGTTGAGCGCTGCTAACCCGAATCTTAGTGAAGGGGTGGGAGAGCCCATGAAGCCTCCATGTGTATCGTGTTACTACTCCGGAAGTAAATGTATCATACCGGATCGTGGACGTTCTCGAAAATATGCGGTCGAGCATGCCGATGGCGCCTCAAGTCAACAAGCACAAACTTCGAACCCCTCTCCAAGACTTGCATCGTCAGCGGTTAGTGATGAGGGATTGATCCAGCGGGGGCAAGAGGCGGGAGAAGAGAGTGACGAGGACATGCATGAAGCAGACGATAACACCGAGATGGGACTGAGGAATCCGTCTGATGCACTGCATATACTGACTCGATCCGGCCCTGCCTCATCCGGGGAGAATCGTCCTAGAGGAGGTCACCAGTACGTTCTTGATCCTGACGATGCGGAACATAGATCAGTAGAGTCTGGAGAAAACTCGGCAGCCGGCAGAGTTAGCCATGTTGAGAAAAGAATTCACAGTGTTGGCGACGGCTCTTTAAGGGAACATAGGTCAACTTTGGATGACCAGCGCAGCACCCCATTTAATCCCATTTAATTAATTTAACTAATCAGCTAATCAAAAGAGGGCTCTTTTCGCAGTTAATTAGCTAAAATGATAATACCCTCGTTTTAAACGTTTTAATTAATCTAATATTACTTAGAAGAAAGAAAATCTAGTTTCTAGATTAATTAGAATTTTTAAAAGATTTAATAAAAAAATAAAAAAGTTAATTAGATATTTTTTTCTAGCTACTTAAGGTTATAACTTTTTAAGCTTTTATATTATAGTTAATAACTTAAGCTAGTTTTAAACTAATATCTTTATAATTACTTATATAGTAAACTTACTACTAATTTATTAAGTTTTATTATAATATATCTTTAAAAAAAAAAAGTAAGTAGTTATAGATATTAATTTAGTAATACTTTTATACTAATAAGTAGTAGAATAAAGCTTAATACTTCTTAGTAGTAAGGCTAATACTACTAAGAAGTACTAAAAGTATTAGAAATATACTTTTTACTATATTATTAAATTAATATATTTTCAGCCCCCTTAACTAAAGCTTAAAAAAAGCTTATTTTTAACCTCTATACTAATTTTTAAAAATAACCTTTTTTTAATATTATTAGTAATACTGCTATTACTACTACTATTATACTTACCTCTACGTTTTAAAGCTTTACTTATATATACTTCTTAGTATCTTTTTTAACTTCTTACTTATTATTATAATATCTATACTAGCTTATAATTAATACTTTAATTACTTTATTAACTATAATATATTAACTCTTTATAGGATTACTATTTAGATTTATACTTTATTAATTATTAGTAATATATTAACTATTAACTTTACTATTTATAGTAGTTTTAAAGCTTTACTTTATACTATATAGAAGGGTTAGTACTTTATTAATATTAAGTATATCTTAAAGAAAAGTAGCTAAAACTATACTTCTTAGATTAAGAATAAAAGCTTCTTTATTTATAAGATCTTTTAAAGTAGTACTTATAATATACTACTTCTTTATTCTATTTTTAACTATATTAATAATATATCTAAGTAATACTTACTAAGTTTACTAATATTATAATAAAGCTAAGTATTTTAATATATTTTAGAAAACTTCTACTATATCTAATACTAAGGTATATTTTAAGATTATTTATTATATTTTCTAAAATTAATCTTATACTAAAAATATATCTAATAATAATTCTAATACTAATAAGCTCTTCTCTAAATATTAATACTTTATTCTTATTACTATACTTTAGAATAAGGTTTTATAAATTAAAGAGCTAGTTTTTAGGTTTATTATTAATACTAATAACTCCTTTTTAATATTTAGTAATTAATATATATAATATATATTTAGCCTCTTTAATTATAATGTTTTTAACTAAATATATTAGTTAAAGTTAAGTTAGAGGAACTTACTTAACTAACTTTATATTTCTAAAAAAGTATAAATCTAAGTAGAGATATAGAAAGTACTTATTAAAGTTTATATATTATTTAATTTATAAACCTTACTTAATTAATATATAATTATTACTATCTTTAGCTATTTTATTAATAAAGTAAGTAAATAAATATAATACTTCTTAGCTTTTTACTATTAGTTTAGTACTTATTTTAGTAAGAATATTACTATTATTATTTATATTATTCTTAATAACTAAAACTTACTTAATAAAGTTAGTATAGCTATCTCTAATAATATTATAAATAATAACTCTTACTTTAAAGCTCTCTTTCTTTCTCTTTTACTTATATATATAGAAATTAATACTAAATAACACTAAATTTAATATTATAGTTATATCTTTAACCTTATTAGTTATATTATTATTTATAATATTAATAATAAGGTATTTAAAGAGGAGTTTAACTTCTTTTTTAGTTCTAATAGAACCTAAGAAGATGACAAATTTACTTAGATGTATATTAACTATATATCCCTAGGCATAGGCAAAAACTCTGCGCGCAGTTTTTATAAGGCCTATCGCTCTTATTAAGCAGATTATCTATTTATTTAGGCTACCCCCTAGTAGCTAAAAAGCGCTATTTTAACCCCTATAATTTAATACGCCCCCTTAGGGATAATTAGTATAATTATATAGTTATCCCTATAGCTTAATTAAGCGTTTCTAAATAGCTTTAATTACTTCTTATTATTATAGTTTTAATAGTTTTATAAGTTATAAAATAATAGCTTTTTTTACTATAAATAGTTAAGGTAATAAAATAAAGTATCTTCTACTTTATTTAACTAGCTTAAAGTTTCTAATTAGTTATAGTTTTACTAACTATTTTAGCTCTCTTTAAAAGTAAGAAAATAAGTAAATAATTCTTTACTACTTATACCTTTTATTATTTTTCTTTCTTTTTTTCTTTAGTTTTTAAGATTTTATAAATTATATATTATCCTTATACTACTTTTTTACTACTATACTAATACTTACTTTAAATAGATTAAATACTTTATAATATCTTTTTATAGTATTTTTAATACTAAATATAAAACTTACTTTATTACTTCTTATACTAATTATATATATATACTTAAGACCTCTAAGTGCTATTATTTAGCTTATTTCTTTTTTAGCTTCTCTAATAACTTTAAGGAGGATAAGTTAGCTTCTCTTATTAATTTTAGCTATTAGTTTATACTCTTTTTATAAATATTTTTTATTATTAATCCTCTTTTTATAGTTTTTATCCTTATTTTACTTATTTATTTTTCTAGTTATATTAAGTACTTTATTATTTAGTTTATTAAGGAGGAGGATTTTAATAATAGCTAAGTTAAGGAGACCTCTATTAAGAAGAAGTATAGCTACCCCTCTAATATTTAATATTAAGCTAAAAAAGAGGCTAAGGAGAAAAAGGAAATTAAGGAAACTAAAGCTCTTACTTTCTCTCTCCTTAAGTAGAAGAAGAAGGATTATACTATTAAGTATTTTACTAAATATATTATTATTAAGAAGAAAAAGTAAGAAAAAGAGGAAACTACTCTTTAAGCTATTTATATTAATATAGAGATTATTATTATTACTACTATTAGTAAAGAGGAGGAAGAAGAGGAAAGTGAGGTTATTATAAGTATTAATAACTTTTTTAACTTTATAAACTCCTCTTTTAAGTTAGAAAATAAGTTTTACTTTAGTTACTCTTTCTCTTTTAGTAAAAGCTATTTATATTTTAGTTATTACTTTTTTAGTAAAAATATTTATTATTACTATTATATAAAAAGTAGTAGCTACTTTATAAGTATTAAAAAGATTATTACTTTCTATTATAAACTTTATAAAATAAAAGAGTATACTAAAAGTAGTAAGTTTATTTTAGCTAAAGTATAAATTATCTCTTATTAAGTATTTCTATATAGTTATTAATTTTTTATAGAGAATTAATATTACTTAAGAGGACCTTTAAGATACTATTTATAAGGTTATTATAGCTTATAAAGCTATTAAGAAGTAAAGTATTACCCCTCTTAAGTATACTTTATATATTTATTACTTTATTTTAGTTTTTATACTCTCTATTATTATACTTTTTCTTAGCTTATTTCCTCTTTATTTAGAGACTTTAGTTTATACTTCTCTTACTCTTTTAAGTATTTTTTTTAGTTCTTATTCTATTTTAGGTTATACTTAGAGTACTATTATAGCTACTTATTATAACTTTAACTATACTCTCTTCTATACTTCTAAGTTTAACTATATTAATTTTAAGGAGTTCTATAACTAGCTTAACGCCTTTAAGTTAGCTATCTTTTTAGCTACTTCTTATAAAGTTATCTTTTTTATTTTTACCTTTAAAAGTATTTAAATATTCTTATTTTATAATTTCTTAGTATTTTAAGGGCTTTAGCTTAAAATAGTTCTACTTTTAAGCTATAAATTTATAAATATTTAGTCTTTTTAGTAGTTTTTTTATTTTAAATAGAAGTTTTTTTATACTTTCTACTTTTTATTTTTATAACTCTTTATACTTATTATATAAGGTTATTCTAAATATTTTTTTTCTCTATTTCTTTTTTCTAGCTTTTTTTATTTCTTTTAAGCTTAAAAGTATAGTTTCTTTTAAAGGTTTCTTTTTAACTAGTTATTTTTAGTTATATTTAGAAGTTCTTAAAAGCTTACTATAAGAAGGATTTTATAAAACTATTTACTATTAGTTATATAAAAAGAGTATATATTATTAATATATACTTCTTATAGATCTCCTAATAAAGCTAGTAGTTATAGATATTAATATAATATAACCTTATTTAGAGATAAATAAGCTCCTTAGTAATTAGCTTAACTATTTATTAGTTATTATATTAGATTTATATTATTATAGGAGTACTTTTTATAAGTTAAAAAGATACTTTTTATTTTATTTCTCTAGGAAGTTATACTTAGAGAGATATTATAAAATAGCTTATAAATATTACTTCTTAAGCTATAAATAAGAGTAAAAAGAGCTTTATTTCTATAGTTAAAGTTATTATAGTTATTTATTTACTTATTTTTTATATAATAATACTTTTAAAAAGCTTTATTATAAATCTTTAAGAGCTTTTTTAATTTAAAGTATTATTACTAAAACTTATATTAGAAGCTACTTTAAGAGTATTATATAAGCTTCTAGCTTTAACTTTATACTTAATATATAAGTAGTATATTTTATAGAGATATTATAAAGCTTAATTTATAACTTATTAATATTTTAGTTTAAGATTTTAATTAAAATAAGCTAAATAACTTACTATAAATATAAAATTTAGTCTTATTATTATTATTATATATAAGATAGTTTTTATTTTTCTCTAGTAGAGATTAACTTTACTATTTAAAACTTCTTTTTTATATAGAAATAGCTTAATATACTTTATAAAGGTTCTATTTTATATCTTTAGAGAGTATCTTAATAAGAGGAGTTTTCTTACTTTTTCTATATAAACTAATTATAAAAGCTAGAGTTTCTTTATTTTTTAATTATAGAGAACCTTAATACTAAGAAATTATTATAAGCTTTTATTACTTTTAAAGTAATATCTTTTCTAAAGTTCTTTAACTACTTTTTTAGTTTCTTTTTAAGAAGCTATTAAGTAAGTAAATATATAGTTATCTATATAAAAAAAGAAATATATTTAACTTTTTCTCTAATAGTAATTCTCTCTTATTATTTATAAGAAGTTTAACTCTTTTAGTCCTTTCTTAAGATAATACTATTATAAAAGAGGAGATTAATAAAGTTTATATAAAGCCTTTTTAAGCTTAAATACTTTTTTAAGCTTCTTATAGCTAAATAAGAACCTTATATATACTATCTTATTAAACTTAATATATATAAATATATTTACTATATTATACTAGAGAAGCTTTAAGTTAAAGTAGTTTACTATAGTTATTAGAGTTTAAAATAATATTCCTATAAAAATTATAATATAAATATTTTAAGTATTTTTTACTTATTAATCTCTTTAAATTACTAAATAAACTTTTAGCTTTATAAATTTATTATACTTATTAAGTTTATAGGTATATACTTAGTAATATCTAAAGACTTATTAATTTCTTAAAGTATTTTTTATAATTTCTTCTTATAATTTAGACTTCTTATAACTTTATAGATAAGATTTCTCTACTTATAAAAAACCTTCTACTAAAAAGTAGTAATTAAACTTTAAGAGATTATATTTCTTTTTATAGTTTAGCTATTCTTTTTAACTTAAGAGTTATTAATATAATATTAAGAAAAGAGGTAATTCTTATTAATAAGTATTTATAAAGTATAAATATATAAACTAAGCTATTCTTAATAAAAGAGAGTTTCTAGAAAGTATTTTATACTTCTCTAAGCTTTTTCTAGAGGTTTTTAAGCTTTTAATTTCTACTTTTTTACTTTATAGTTTTTCTATTATATCTATAGATTAATCTTCCTTTATAGCTATATAAAGCTAGTTAAGCTATATATATAAGCTACTTAGGCTATTTAATCTCTAGAGAGTATAAGGATTTTTATATAGATTACTTCTTATTAAAAATATAGCTTTAAATAAGGTTTTAGAAGTTATTTTTATTACTAATAAACTTATTTCTTATTTCTTTATATTAGAAACTCCTTAAAAAGCTTTACTAAATACTATAAATAAGCTTATTAGTTCTAGAAAGAGAGGTAGTATTAGCTAAAGCTTAAATTATATATTTATATATAGTATTATTTTCTCTAGCTATTTTTAGTTAATCTCTTCTCTTATAGTAGTTTTAATATAATTAAAGATTTTATCTACTTCTTTATTAGTTTCCTATTTTATAAAAATACTATAAAATACTTTAATAAGCTAAGTAATATATTTTTAGATTACTTTAAGGTCTATATAATAAAACTCTTCTACTATATATATTAGATTTCTATTATAGAACTTCTTCTTATTAAATATTATATCTTATATAGTAAATATTTTACTTTTTAGTAAGTTCTATATATAGAAAGAATTACTTAATATATAGCTTAAAAGAAAACTAATAAATACTCTTAGTATAAGTTTTTAGCGTTTATTTTTTCTAAGTTAAATATCTTTAGTTATTA